ATATATATATAAAGTAATGTAAAAAATGATTTTCTAAATCATTTATTGAATTGGATTGAAAAAAGGCAAAGAGAGAATTTTTATTTAGTTCGGATTTTTATTTGTACGAATAATTGGTTAAAAGCAAATTGCTTAGAGATAAAGTTTGGATTTTTTTTTTACAATAAACAAATTCTTGTTGTAGATGTTGTAAGTGGATACATATGATTATGAATCCCATCAATATTTTGTTAGTCATCGATGTACAGAACGATTTTGTCGTTGGCACATTTCAAAAATACGGTTTTAAGCATGGGTTGGAAGTGGTGGAACCGATAAATCGGATTTTGAAGGAGGGTCATTGGGATGATGTGATATATGTACAGGATTGGCATCCGGAGAATCACATTAGCTTCTTTGACAATTTGGCGATGCGCGAACTTGATCCGAAATCTGAAGTATTTAAACATGCCTGCCTGATAATAAAATAGTTTCATAAAACGATTCAAGAAAATAAAATAGTTCAATAAAATAATTTGAATAAATAAATGAAAAAATAAATTTAATATTAACGTTCTAATCATATTTTTTTTTCCATATTATCTATTGCTATTTTTTTATATATCATAAGTTTATGCAAAACTAGTTTTAGCTATTTATATATGTACAGTGAGTACAAAAAGTACAGAGAAAATATTTTTTAAAAAAAACTTCATTTTTAAAAAGTAAATATTATCCAGAGAAATGAATCATCGAATTGATGTCGAATCGATATAAATTCGATTATTTTAACACCAATTTGACATCGATTCGACGTTTAATTAACGATTTCTTGATAATTAATAATTTATTCATAAAGAATAAAATAGATTGTATGTTTCTTAAAATTATATATACCAAAATGATGTGTATTAATTATACAAAATATATCATCAAAAATAAGCGAAAATTAAAAATTGTATTGTTTGAATGCTCAAAAAATATTCGTACAGACGAGAAATTTAGCTTCTAAAATCAGGAATACGTGCTAAGCTCGTTTGTTTATATTAGAACAGAATGTAACTCATTGTATAAAATTGCTAATTAATGTTTATTTTCTACAAATAAGATTTTTTTTATAACAAATTTCCTTGTACGAATACTTTTTGCTCTTACTGTATATAATATAAAATAGAAATTTCTAAAAAATTCTTGAATATGTCCTTTTAGATAACTTTTTTATTTTTGTGTCAGTAACACAAATAAATTTAAATTTTTGGTGTTTTTTTTTTATGAATTAAAATAAAAATAATAAATCTTATCCAAGGTAGATTTAGCCTCTAATTCTATAATCCGAAATAAATATGAGATAATCCTATTGTGAAATAGGTCACTAAGGAAACGGCGAAACTTTTTGACACCGTTGTTTTTTTGCAACCTCATTTAACGCAAATACTTTTGCCAAAACACTGTGTTCAGAATACTTGGGGCGCTGAATTGTATAACGGTCTGCTAATATTACCTTCTTCCAAACGGGTAATAGCTCAATTTTATACAAAAATAGAGAGCTGTGTCATATATATATCACTAAAAATATATATATATAGCACTAAAAATTCTCTAATTAGTCTAATTCTTTAGAACTGCATAGATATAGTTCTATAGTTCGATATAATTCTATAGTTCGTAGATATAGTTCTTTATATCACATAAAAAACAATAATTGTATAGACGTTCTTATCACGCTATGGCAACTATTTCTTTCTTTCTTCCATATTTACGAATTGTTATTTAAAAAGACATGAATTCCTACAATTTTTTAATCAATCTATTTATAAATTATCTTATTTTTGAAATTATGTACATCTGATATTAAGAAATCTGGTATATTCTATTTAATTAATCGGAATATTCTTCCCTTTTTATACTCAAGCTACATAAGGGTCAGAATCCAGAGAAAGACATATATTCAGCATTTGAAAAAGATGAGCAAAGTTCCATAAAACTTGAAAAATTATTGTCAGCCGTTGAAAGGACGTTCTTATATGTCTGTGGTCTCACCTATGATTTATGCGTAAAGGAGACGTGTTTGGATGGTTTGCAATTGGGTTATCCTGTAGCTGTGATTGAAGATTGCTGCCGTAGTATAAAACCCAATGAAAAAACAACTGAATCATATATTGAAAATGGTGCATTAGTGGCACATTCTAACCGCGTACTGTCCTTGGTGAACGAACAGAAGCATAGTCTGGTGATGGCGCATCAGGCCGCGAAGACTGCAAATAAACATTAATCTATTAAGCAAAATCTATTCATAGATTCATCATGTTATGTAAAAATATTTCTTAAAGATAACGACCATTTTTTGTCAAATCTAAAGTTGCATTTAAAATAGAACAGAGAAAAAAAATGTAAAAATTATTTTGTTAATTTTTATTTCTTTTTACCCCTGTTATCAGTTATTAAAATAATAAATTATTAATTCTATAATCATTGAGAAGATTTTGTCTAATTCTTATCTAAATATTTCAATTTTTACGAGGAATGAAGATAATTACAAAGGATAAGATGAATTTATTTTAATTCATTTTTACATATAATGATACATTACACTAGTACTATGCTGAAATGAAAAAATATAAGCGGAAATTTAAAATTATAAACCTTCAATTTATGATTTAATACTTTATATCAAATATCATTAATAGTCTTTCATAATGATGAATATACTTATAAATGATAATATAATTTACTAAAATGTCAATTTATTTAAATATACACAAAATTAGATATGCATACGTTATCAAGAGGAACCTATAAATATATTGTATTTTTTATTAAAAAGCAATTGTACTTTGTGATAAAAAATTTTGTAATTAAATTACTAAAAAGATATACTTATAAAAGATATGTTTATAAATAAATATAATTCCTCGTGTTTGATTTGTTATTTTCATCAACTAAAATGCGCCTAATCACTTTTATCAATTAGTAATCGTGCTGTCCTTTCGATCCTATTTGCTGATTCGTCTTCGATCGTCAATTCGCAAATATATTTTTGTCTTGAGCTGCAATCTTCACCTCTGTATGAATAAAGTTTCGACGATGCGTTGAAAGTTAACTTCAAACATCTACAATTTAAAATAATTTATAATTCAAATATTTAGTGTTGAGAATTAATTGTCATGCTAAGTAAAAACTTTAATATATATACGCTATTGATATTGTATTCTATTTATGTAAAAATGTTCTATTTAAGAGCGATACTAACCTGCCATCACCAATGACGGTCTGTTTAGTGTCTTGTTGAACCGGTCTAGCACTGTTGGCCCAAATCCATAAAAGTCCTGGATTTAAGCCACCTGTCCAGAAATTATTGCCTTTAAATTTGGAGTTTGACATTATACCCGCAATTACATCTTGGTTCTCTTCGACCGTGTTGAATTCAACCAAATGTCCACCCATACCACGGCAAAGACTACCCGATGATTTCCAGTCGAAATCACGATTACTGAAGTGGTAGCAGTTTTGACCCATTCTCGTGTAATTAGTAGGGCAAGGTTCTAAAAAAAACGATGACATAATAAACGAATAGATTAAAGCTGTATTAAGCTCTTCAGTGAAAAATGACAAGTGGAATCGACATCGAATCGACATCGAAATCATCAAATTGATGTTGAATCGACGTCAATTCGACATCGATTCCATTGTTATTTCTCACTGGATTGTAAAATAACAAATTTGTCTCTTTCTTTCTTATAACAATTAATTTCTTTTAAACGTTATAGAAAGAAAAAATATCTTGATTATCATCATATATTATATATTATATATTATATATCATATATTATATTGAAATGATTTTTTAAATCGATTTTTTTATATTGAAGAAATTTTACCTTTCATTTTAT